CCATCACATGTTTCCGTACCATCTCAGGTCCAAACTGCTCTATTCTTCATTCAATAAATCTGATTGGTTGAAAAAACATCACACATGTGGGTCAAGATTTCCATGAAGGAGTTGGTGGTGGGTCCTTCGCCAGACCAGTGAAAACCACTACTTAACGCGCCCAGTACAGAATCACTTTCAAACACTTCTACAGTTGCATTTTCACTGTGCGGAAACAGGAAGCATGGTTTGATACTCTATAATTCAACTTCTGTTCAAAGGACCAAAAGACTCTGGGTTTGTCTTTGCAACATCTTCAACATGCAGCAGGTGGTGCTGCAGGCCGTGAACCAGCTCGCTGTTAAGACACATGCTGAAAAAACTTACTGTAATGCTTCAAAACATAAGAAGGCTACAGCCGCTGGAATATTAATCCCATCATAACGGTTCAGAAAGTTTGGGTCAGAGTTTGAGGCAGTGACAGACATTCCTGAGCCGATCTGTAACCGTGTCTCCCCCCCCTCACAGGGCCTCTCCTCCACATGCTGCAGGTCCCTCTCTCTCCCACATTCCTGATGACCCCGAGCTGCTCCAACCATCACAACAAACTGCCTCCTTAAAGACTTCACTGAGAGGTGATGACACACTCCACAACCCAGACGCAGCAGACTGCTGTGTAACTAGTAAAAACAAAATCCCAGCTCCACGGGGTCTCCTCCGCCTCTGTTTCCATGCAGGTGTGAGGAGGACGCCCGGAGGAAGAATGAAAAAAAAAAAACCCTGATGGGAGCAGATCAGAAGGAGTGCCGCGCAGAGCCGGATAATAAAGTGAAAGAAGCTCTGGGTCGTCTCAAACCGCAAGATCCCCCAGCTGCACGGACCCCTGCCAGCTCAGACAACGCAAACACAACGGTAACCTGAGAAAATAAGCACACACACACACACACACACACACACACACACACACACACACACACACACGCCTACGCACAGTATCACACACAATGAGCTCATGCTGCTTCTCCAATAACCATCAAACCGACAACAGAGCAACATGAGAGAAAACTTTATCAAACTCCAGCTCAACAATCTACAAAACTTCTGTCTGTTACCGGGGAAAGAACAACAAAATATCTCAAAGATTTTCACATTATTACACAAAGAAAACGGGTTCACATCTTGCAGCTTTGCGGCCTCCTTAAAGATGGAAACTATCAGCACATGTTTGTGTTTGGGTCTCTTTTGGCTTCAGCTCAGTGTTTGCACGTGAGCGTCTGAAGAGCGCTGCTTCATAATGGAAAGCAGAGCTGCAGTCACACAGCACCTGCTGCAGAGAGGCTGTGACGAGGAGGAGGAGGACGACGTGTTGTTTCTCACAGAAATAGATGTTAATGATTTGAAATGACACCAGATGTTTTTTAGTTGTTTTGATCCGTCACCTGAGTCTGTTTTGACTTATTCCTTCTCTATAAAAGCCGATACTTATTAGAGGAAACCAACTTAACAAACATTATGTAAAGTTTCAGTACACTTAAGACACACTTCTTCCGGCGAGCCCTTCCTGATTTTTGTTGATTTTAAATGTTACTATTTTCACTTTTTAGAATTCCTTTAAAAGAATTGTATGTGCTTTACAGTTCTTTTTTAAAAGGGATTTTTTATTCCTTAATCTTGCCTTGTTTATTTTTCTATGACCTGCCTGTTTTTATATTTGCTGTCCTTGTAAAGCACTTTGTAACTTGTTTTTGAAAAGTGCTCTATAAATAAAGATTATTATTATTATTATTATCACATACAGTAACTCCACATTGGTGTTTCATTCTCAACAACCTTTAACTTTTAACCACGACATGTTAACTCAAACATCTGTTCTTTCTTTCATACATTTCCAGAATCATTCCTAAATCATCCCAGATAACCTCTCCAACATCAAGACTGATTTAACCTCAATGGAGGAACGAAGATAAATAGATGATTCCTTGGCTTATCCATACATCCACATGACACAGGATATACATGATGAAAAACAACTTATCAGACATCTCAAGATGAAACACGAGAGAGAGAGAGAGAAGAAGAAGAAGAAGCTGAAGGTGAATGTGATGTCTGACTCTAAAAGCTGTTGCATGCATTTCTTAAAATCTTTAGAGACTCTCAGGAGTACGGCCCCTGAAATCCTCCTGACCTGGTTGTTCACATTATGCAGGAGGCTAACCCTGTCAGACAGGAGGGGTGAGGTAGGGGGGGTCTCCTGAAGCAAGACATGAAAGTAGCAGACGTAAGAACAGAGTCCACTATACGATGCTATAATGAGAATATTTGTCTTTGTATCAATGCTACGTGTAGTTCAACAGACTCACAATCTGAAGAAAAGAGTGGAGAAGAACAAACTGGAGAACAGGAAACATGCAGCAGCAGGTTCATTAGAGCACGGAGATGGTAGAGGTGGCGTGCAGACAGTCAAATGTTGACTCACAGCAAGCGGAGAACTAAAGCAGCTTATTGCCGCTGCAGAAGAACAAAAAGAAACAGGTTTGACTGAATTCTTCCTGGGGTGAATTCATCCCTGAATCACTTTCAACCTTTTAAACTGCATCTGAGTTTGTCTGTAAGCTGCGATATGAATAAAGTTTGATTGAATAACTGAGATACCATGTCTACTATTTATAAGTATATAAATCGAGTGAGTGAATCACTTATTACTTGATGAGTCTGAACGCTGTGATCAGCTGAAATGACGCGGTGAGGACGATCGTAAAGTAAAAAAAAAGTGATTTTTTTTGGCTGGCAGCAAAAACACTTCCACAGACAAACAAGATTTACAAATTAGCCTCATCTCATCCGGTCTGGTCCTCCCGACCCCCACGCCTCCACCTCACCACACACCGTCCTCTTCCTCCTCTAGCTCGTTATTTTACCCAGCACCCCCTCCTGCCATCCTGCCTTGCCATAACCCCCCCCCAAACCAAACACACACTTGTCACCTCTTCCCCATACTGAACCATCTCCCCCGTTAGCCCCACGTTCACACCTCTGGAGGAGAAAGCGTCGCCTGTTTGTCCTGGAGGTTATCTGCACTGTAAACATCGAGAGAGAGAAAAAAAGCACTGACATGTCAGAATTTAAAACCCGGCTTTAAGAAGAAATCTCCTCTCACTAATCCGTCTGAGCCTGATCTGGTTTTAACTTTTTTTACAGCACCGGAGCTGCCAAACACATCCTGCATCTCTACGCTCGGGGAGCTGATTGTTTTCCTTTTTGCTTCCTGTGTTTTAGTTTTTGAAGCGGCCGGAGTTCGTCTGTTTAGTGAGATCTTCAGAATCTTTTTTTTTTTTCCTGCAAAGTAAGCCTGGTCCCATGGTTTCCAGTCAGACTGAGTTATTAAGTAGTCCCAGGGAGTTTTCTCTTCTTTGTTATCAACAGACTAAATTACTGACATTCTTCCGTCCACATTTATCTTCTCATCTCTCCGTATTAGAATCCATTATGGAGAGGAGGTTTGATCATTCTGTCCAGTCCAAGCAAAACAAACATCAAGGACAGGACGGCCTTTTTTTATTATTGTCTTAACATCGTCAGAATCAGAATCACCCTGTCAAAAAAACTTTGCATCCATTAATTTTTTACTTTCAGGTTCCATGATGGCAGTTCAGATCTAGTGTATTATCTGGCTTTTTTTGGTTCTTTAATATGACAAACATTAGCCAGAAATACCCAGAGCACCTCTGTGTTGGATAGGATTACATCCAGGTATCTTTCTTTAAGAGCAGGTGGAAATCATTTCTGTGATTAGTTCACATATTGTAGCTTGTGGCTGCTATTAAAACACTCATCCTTGTGCTCTACGTTGGCCTGCACTCTGAAGTTATTGTTCCTCGGTTATGAAGACAAAGCAGAGATATATTTGGTCCAGATGTCTTCCTGGCTCTCCTCTTCCATACCATTCATCTCATTTCCTGTGGCGCTAGGGTGATCCCGTTTATAGCCTGTAATGTTTGTCTGATTTATCAGGATGAAGGGCCAGCGTTTATAATCAGGTACTTAAAATAGACTTGAAGTGGCTCAGCCAATCAGAGGGAAGGAGTTGAAGTCGACCAGTTACAAGATCACTCAAATTTTGATTTTCTTAGATTTAACCCGGGACAGAAAATGAGGATTCTGAATAATAATTTTGAAGTACTCAACTGAACCTTGTTTTCTTTCTCATTTTGAAAAACCTAACAACAATCCTGATTCATGAATAAATCAACATGACAAAATATCTATACATACATTTTGTGTAACATGCTGTAAATGTGTTTCATTTTGTTGTAAAGTTTAACATTTTAATATGGGGTCAAATGAGGATTGACTCACTTTTGGAGCAAGCCTCAAGTGGCCACTCGAGGAACTACATTTTTTTGCGCTCACACAATGGCTTCTTGTTTAAATAGTTGAGTATGTTGCTTGGCTGATAGATTGTAAAATAAACATGAAAAACCTTCAGTGACATCACCCATTGGTTACTTAGGGGTGAGCTTAAAGCACGTCGACAGTGGTCGCCATATTGAAAATGCTTTGGTTTACCAAAGACTGGGCAAAGAGCAGGAGCTGAGGAGGTCACTCAAAGTGGCCACGCCCCTAATTATGAATAACTTCAGGCATTCATACCATTTTAATTTCTTGAGTGATACTAAAATTCAACCTTTTACATTTGCCAAAATTTAAAAAATAAATCCAAATATTTATCAGTTAAAAAATTATTTTTTTTAACTAAAATAATTAATAAAAATTAATAATCAAAATGTATTATTATTTATCATAAGGCTGTACATTTCCTTGATTCTGCTGTAGATTTCTGGATTTGCATATGGCGCTTTATGGTTTTGACTCGCTTTTAGAGCCAGCCACCAGTGGCCACCCGCGGTACTGCGCAGTGTCATTCCCGGATGTTGCTATAGCTTCCTCGTGGCCGCTGGCCCTTTAAGAAAGGCGGGAGGGGGGGGGGGGGGGCGAGGGGTTCGAGCATCTCGGCTGCGGTGTTTTGTCTCTGTCAGTGAGCGCTCCTCCCGGGCCGAGGCGGCTGAAAGGATTTCCAGAGGGCAGGTAAGAACAGCAAACAAGTTCGTGTGTGTGGAAGCTCCTTCTTTTTGTCCTGTTGTTGTTTTTTAAAGCGTTTTGCATGAACCGCCTTTTTGTGAGAGTGACTTCTTTTGTGAATTGTCGGTCCTGCCCATTCTCTCCGGTCCTCTATCGCTCCCAAGTAACGGATCCTTTATTCTAGAAACCCCCTTACTCAGCTTCATTTTTTCACACGTATATTCACTCCTGTGAGGTGTATTTAAGGTTACATCCTCACCTTTAGCGTTTATTTACATGTACAGGAGTGTTCAGCTCAGTCTCACGGTCGCTGCTCCGGTGCGTGTCTTTTTGTTCAGAGCATCACTGGAGGCTACGCGCTGCACGGTGTGGAAAAAACATCAATAATATCATAATAATAACAATTACATCATGCACGTAAAGCTGGGATATTACGTCACAGCGACTATTTAATATCACTGGATTTACTTGTTATAATAAAGGGAATTTCTGTGTATAATCTGTGCGTTTTCTGCACAGCATCGCGGTTAAATTCATCCTGTGTTTTTGTCATTGACCGCATATGGAAAAGGTTTTTTTTTTGCCACGCGGCCTCAACTTTAGTCCTATAATTGATTGAAGCTTTGAGTTCCAGTGTTGCAGAGAGCTCTTACAGTAAATCGCAGAATCTATTTTGCCCCCCCCCCCCCCACCCTCAGTGTTTACCTCTGAACCAGTAAGTGTTTGTTTCTGTTGCGACAATCCGAGCATTTTCCAATTTCATTTCATTAAGAAAAGGAGAAAGCTGTGGCGGTGGAGACTCGGGGGAGAGGGTTGGGTCCGTGCAGGATTTCTGCTGCAACTTTTCATTACTTCCAGATGTTCATCAGCTTTTCTTTTTTTTCCCTTCGCCGCTTCTTGCCCTCAAATCTGCGGTTGTGTCGCCTCTGGTCAGTTTTGTGTCGTCTGCAGATGCATGAGGGCTGAGCAGGAGGATAAACACACCTCAAAGTTTACTTTATGTTTGTCCTTTTTGTAGAGCATGAAAGTCAATGAGGGGCACCTAATCAAGTTAGCTTTTATGACCCTAAATGCATTCTTGAGTGTTTTCCCAGCTGAGCATTAAAACTTTAGGTGTTTTCTGACCCTCTTCATTTCCCTAAATAAACAAATCAGTTAAGTTTTAAAGCCCTACATGCATGAATTAAGGTTAAATGTACATTTTCAGATGAATATGGAGGTTTATTTGTTGTCAACTTGTCAGAAGGAGGATAGATTTTCTCAGTTTTATGACCCACAATGCATAAATAAAGGTTTCTCAGAGGTGGGAAGAGTTATACAAAAATATCAACTTTGTAAAATCTGTTATATCTAACAGTAGTTAATTTAAGCTAACCGGTGTTACGGTTTAAAAAGTGGCCGTGTTAACTGGTGACCTTTAGCCTAATGTGTCTGATGTTGTCGTAGTTAAAGACATGTATGATTGGTATTTTTGACATTACGATAAAAAGTAAACAAAGCGGCCTTCTTAAAGACATTTTCCATATTCAACATCTGTTGTAACCACGGCAACCACAGATGCCTTCGGCTAAAAGTCGCCAGTTTACACGGTCCTCTTTTTAAACGTAACGCCAAACAAAAACAAAAACATCAGCTTGCATCAATGTTGAGTCTGAAACAGACCATGATGACTTAAAAAACTCTAAATGAAACACGTGCCTGTGGTTAACCTGTACTTAAGGTCAAGCAGCATTTCACAATAAAAGCACCATTGGCAGAGATGGTCATTTTCTGCCCGTTATGTAATAATAAGCTCTCCGAAGAACAGGAGGCTCTGTGCTCTCGCTCAGGTTGTCCACCATGCATCTTATCATGTAAGAGCGGGGTTCAGACATTATTTGAAAACACATTTTCTGTAAATTAAAGTTAAATTAACAATGAATGGATTAACGGATGTGTTTCCAGCTCTGAGGTTTCCCTTTAAGGAATTACATTTTTAAGAAGTGAGCAACTTATGACATGTTTGATTTATAACCCTTAATGCGATCATGAAGGCTGACCTTTATGTTATTTTCACTAATATGGACGTTTGGCTCATAAGAAGGAGGACAAACCCACTTTGAAGTCTCTTGAATCATATTTGTGCTTCATGAGATGAGATCATGCTAGAGCAATTATTGAAAACTAGGCCTATCTTGATGCCGCTTAATAAACAAATAAAGCAGGTTTGATTTGCCAAACTGCAGAAATGAATGATTTCCTGTAAGTATTAAACGTTATTAGGAGGATTGTTTTGTTTGGTGGAGAGAGCTGTGTGTCCCATTAGAAGCGCTGTGGATTCATCAGTAATCACATCAGATGTTGTTGTGATGAAGGACGTGCAGAACTTGGCTGGATGTGTGTGTGTGTGTGTGTGTGTGTGTGTGTGTGTGTGTGTGTGTGTGTGTGTGTGTGTGTGTGTGTGTGTGTGTGGGGGGGGTGTAGTCACCAGCCTGTTGCACTGCATCACATAATACACACCACTGTCCCGCTGTTGTGTAATGGGCTGCTGTCTGGATTAAATCACCTCCCAGTGAATAACAGGGATTGTAGCAGCTGCATGGCACTCAGATGAGCTCAGTACTGTTGTTTGTGTCGTTTTACGGGCGGGTTTGGTGGCTCCCATGTCTGGTCTAATATGAGGACTGCCAAGTGCAGCGTCAGGGAATCAAGGCGGGGGGAGCAGAAGAGGGGTTTGATCGTTTATTGCAAGGACAATGACTCTCGACCCGCCATGAAAAGACAGATATTATAAAAGAAGAATGAAGTAGTGTTGTAGTACTCGAAATTGGTCTTGGTCTCGATTCCTAAATGTCTTAGTCTTGACTCGGTCTCGATTCCTAAATGTCTTAGTCTTGTCTCGGTTTCGATCCCTAAATGTCTTGGTCTTGGTCTTGTCTCGGTCTCGGTCTCGACCCCTAAATGTCCTGGTCTTGTCTCGGTCTCGATTCCTAAATGTCTTAGTCTTGACTCGGTCTCGATTCCTAAATGTCTTGGTCTTGTCTCGGTTTCGATCCCTAAATGTCTTGGTCTTGGTCTTGTCTCGGTCTCGGTCTCGACCCCTAAATGTCCTGGTCTTGTCTCGGTCTCGATCCCTAAATGTCCTGGTCTTGTCTCGGTCTTGACCCCTAAATGTCTTGGTCTTGTCTCGGTCTAGATCCCTAAATGTCCTGGTCTTGTCTCGGTCTCGATCCCTAAATGTCTTAGTCTTGACTCGGTCTCGATTCCTAAATGTCTTGGTCTTGTCTCGGTTTCGATCCCTAAATGTCTTGGTCTTGGTCTTGTCTCGGTCTCGGTCTCGACCCCTAAATGTCCTGGTCTTGTCTCGGTCTCGATCCCTAAATGTCCTGGTCTTGTCTCGGTCTTGACCCCTAAATGTCTTGGTCTTGTCTCGGTCTCGACCCCTAAATGTCCTGGTCTTGTCTCGGTCTCGACCCCTAAATGTCTTGGTCTTGGTCTTGTCTCGGTCTCGGTCTCGACCCCTAAATGTCCTGGTCTTGTCTCGGTCTCGATCCCTAAATGTCCTGGTCTTGTCTCGGTCTTGACCCCTAAATGTCTTGGTCTTGTCTCGGTCTAGATCCCTAAATGTCCTGGTCTTGTCTCGGTCTCGATCCCTAAATGTCTTAGTCTTGACTCGGTCTCGATTCCTAAATGTCTTAGTCTTGTCTCGGTTTCGATCCCTAAATGTCTTGGTCTTGGTCTTGTCTCGGTCTCGGTCTCGACCCCTAAATGTCCTGGTCTTGTCTCGGTCTCGATTCCTAAATGTCTTAGTCTTGACTCGGTCTCGATTCCTAAATGTCTTGGTCTTGTCTCGGTTTCGATCCCTAAATGTCTTGGTCTTGGTCTTGTCTCGGTCTCGGTCTCGACCCCTAAATGTCCTGGTCTTGTCTCGGTCTCGATCCCTAAATGTCCTGGTCTTGTCTCGGTCTTGACCCCTAAATGTCTTGGTCTTGTCTCGGTCTAGATCCCTAAATGTCCTGGTCTTGTCTCGGTCTCGATCCCTAAATGTCTTAGTCTTGACTCGGTCTCGATTCCTAAATGTCTTGGTCTTGTCTCGGTTTCGATCCCTAAATGTCTTGGTCTTGGTCTTGTCTCGGTCTCGGTCTCGACCCCTAAATGTCCTGGTCTTGTCTCGGTCTCGATCCCTAAATGTCCTGGTCTTGTCTCGGTCTTGACCCCTAAATGTCTTGGTCTTGTCTCGGTCTCGACCCCTAAATGTCCTGGTCTTGTCTCGGTCTCGACCCCTAAATGTCCTGGTCTTGTCTCGGTCTCGATCCCTAAATGTCCTGGTCTTGTCTCGGTCTCGATCCCTAAATGTCCTGGTCTTGTCTCGGTCTCGACCCCTAAATGTCCTGGTCTTGTCTCGGTCTCGATCCCTAAATGTCCTGGTCTTGTCTCGGTCTCGATCCCTAAATGTCCTGGTCTTGTCTCGGTCTCGATCCCTAAATGTCCTGGTCTTGTCTCGGTCTTGACCCCTAAATGTCCTGGTCTTGTCTCGGTCTCGGTCTCTGAGCACTCTGGTCTCGGGTATGTCTCTACTTTTTGAAGGTCTCGGTCTCATCTCGGAATTGAAAGCATTTTGACTCGGTCTTGTCTCGGTCTCAGAGTGGGCAGACTCCGGGACTCAAGATCACCATTGAGAGGCTATTTTTCCACGTCATCACTGTGATTAGAAGGAAAACACCTCTTTTAAAAGAAACAATAACTTCAATTCATTCATAAATGAATGGCCGCAACCTTCCCGGTCTAAGTGAGCGACACGCCCGCTGCACACAACATAAAGATTTTTCAGAGATATTTATGGTCTTGGTCTTGTCTCGGTCTCGCCCTCCCTTGGTCTTGGTCCCTAAATGTCTTGGTCTCGGAGCACTGTGGTCTCGGGTATGTCTTGGTCTCGGTCAGTGTGGTCTAAAACATCAGTATGAAGTTCAATTCACATGTAACTGTAGTGAACAACCAAAACACAGTTCATGCTAGGACAGGCTAAA